CTCGAAACAACTTATTTGAATATTCTCTACCTTAGGTTGTTAGTCATAATTGGAAGGATTTGATCAACACCCAACTCAATTCATGAATATACCACAATTCCATATATGATAAAGAGTCGAGCAAACTAGAAAATCAATCATTCATCTAATCTAACACATAGACTAGAACTCCACAACACCCAAGTGGTACGTAGAAAATTTAGCTTATGACGAGAGAGAGAGAGAGAGAGAGAGAGAGAGAGTAATACACAAAATGAAGAGAAGAAAACATCCTAGTAGGTTGGGTTTTTCTTCTTGCTACTCCATCTTCAACCCTTGCTAATGGATTTGAACTCCAATGGTGATTTGAAGCTCCAATTCTCACTTTAGAGATCTCCTTCGTCACTTTCTCTCTACCCAGTAGATGCACTTTCTCACTATAACTCCTCCCTTTGAAATTTGATTTATGCTTCTTTATATAGCGAAAAAGTGCAAAGTTCACGGTTTCTTGTCATGGCCGTGATGTTTACAGCCAAACCAGGAGTTCGACTGAACACACAACATTTCACATGCTATCTTCAGGGCCTGGTAGTAATTCTAACGATCTGAGCAAAGTGAGACAATGAACAAAACCCTATTGTGAAGGACATGTTCATACACCGTGAGACGGGTGCAACTAGCTAGGGGCAAACTCTCCTAGTTGATCGATTAAGGTTTGTGACAAGGAGCTAGGGAATCTAGCTCTCTTAACCAATCAACCTAGCTATCTCAACCTAGGTAAAAATGACCCAATCATGAGTCAAAGCTAGCACATTCAATCATTCATGAAAAATACCTCAAATATTATATAAACATTCAATCAACACACATGGAGTCATGTCCTTACATCCTAACACACATATAGACTAGGATTCACAATACCCAAGTGAGTAGGTAGGCTATTTTCCATAGCTAGGCAAAGGAAAACAACAAAACGGAGAGAAAGAACCATGAAGAGATGAGTGTCTTCCTTTCTTGATGCTTGAATCTCCCTTGAGAAGAAGAAACCTTGAATCCTCTAGCTTAGAAACCCTCCTTTATTCTAAAAACCAAAACCCTAGAAAAGCTCCCTTTCTCTCTCCAAGCAGCCTTCTATTTACAGAGTCCTATAGTCACTTTCACGTCAGAAGTCACGGCCGTGACATTGGAGCCATGATCATGACATTGGACCAAAACGTGAGTCTCTGGCATCGTTTTGCTCCACATCACGGCTTGGGGATGATTTTCATGGTCAACAGACCGTGAACACACCGAGGTCAAGTGAGGTGCGCAAAAACACTCTAAAACTTGTCAATGTCACGCCCAATGATCAATTGTCACGGTCTAGTGACTGTGACATTTGACCTCTGCCCGTGACTTGGGATGGTCACGCTCCCTCTGATCAATTGTCACGGTCTAGTGATCGTGACATTTGAGCTCTGCCCGTGACCTTAGACTATCTTTCACTTTACTTCACTTTTTGGCGCTTTATCGACTGCAATCATCCCGAAACTTGTCCTCGACCTTCCCACACATGCTAGGGAATAAAATGTATAAAAAATTGCACAACCTAGCGTAAAATAGGTCGAGAGATGACGAAATGCAAAGTCAAACTATAAAGAAATGAGGGGCTAAATGTGTACAATTAGATCCGAATCAATCCCCCACACTTGAAAATTTGCTTGTTCCAAGCAAACCAATGTTAAACAAGGTAATTTTTCAACCTAACAACAATAACTTGGGGACACATCAAATGGCACAAAGAGGGCAAATCTCAATGGCTATTGCGCATCAACACATGAACCATTACAAGAAATACCGGAATCCACCACAAACAACATACGAATGCATTAAGAACAGTCAAACAAAAAAGGTCTCACTTTCTTTACAAACCAAAACATGCCTTGACCAAACCACTCACAAACCGCAATTAACCATGCATAGAGTTCAAGTCCAAGGAACAAATGAATGGGCGACATAGGTCCTCGCCTGGATAAAATATGAACATGCAAAACGTGAATGAATGTCTCACTCTCAACTAGTGGGGTCGGGACCTTTTGGTGAAAAAGATGTGCACAATCATCAACACTCAACCCTATCATCTCTACACCATCGAGGCAACCTCTAAATACTAGAGTTCACAGGATGGTTGTCCTCACTACCTTGTCCGGAAGTCTTAGACACAGGTTTAAATGACTGGTAATTGTCTTGGACATGAGGAAAATTCCTTTTGGGTGGTGGCAAGCAAAGCATGATGTTCTGCAACCAAGATACAAGGTTCTATGGTTTCGACTAGACCTTCCCTGTGATCAAAGGCCACTAGCATCGACCAAATACCATACTTCACTTCTTCCAAACCACTACCAATCACGAACTACATTCAAGTAAACTTCTTCGACCTATCTTGCTATCCACAATTCAATCAAAGTAGTGAAGGAGGTCAACAAGCAATTAGGTGTTTCAATGGCTTGAGTGCCAAGAAACCCTTTCTAGATCATACACTTAGGCTTTTGTGGCAACTCTCTACTTTTATTTACCCCGTTTTATTACCTCTTTTTCGTTTCCTTTTTTCCAATTTCCATTTATTTTTCTTTTCTCTTTTTTTTTCGAGGGGGGGTACTAGAGAGTAAAACACATGCCATTTTTACATTTAACGAACAATGCTCTCTATTAAGATCTTTCCTCCAAAACTACCTTTTCATTCCTAGCAATAACCATGCAAAATTCCCCTACATAGAAACTCAATGGAGCTCAAAAGTAAGAACTCCAAGACACAAGGATGACTCACAACGTTTCAGACAAGAATAAAGGAAAATGATCATTCTATCAATCACCATTAAGCTCAAAAAGCAAGAAGCTCCTAACATGAGAACGACCTAAAGTCAAACGGCTCAAAGGGGTCAACTAGGGGTTAAAATGTTTCGGCCCAATCAACTTTTGGGCATGGACTAATCCTAATGCCTCCATCATACTTACTAGTGACAATGGTGAATGTTACTTGCCATGGTAAGAGGGATCTATCACACATGAAAAATAAGATCGACACGAAAATCACATGGCTACCTAGCCACCAATCATCTATTCCAATTCACAAAATTCAATGCTTGGCAATTGTAATCAAGGAGTAATCAAGTAAAAAAATCAATTGATTTCCGCACACATGAGAACTAAACATTTGACCTATCCTAATTCAATTCTCAGTCATCATAATAGGATGCACTCGAACGCAAGCAATCAATCCAAGGTCAATGCCAATAAACACAAGATTCTCTAACAAACTGGCCACAATGAACATGCAATGCTTGGATCCCTCAAATTTTAATATTTTTTGGGCATACATCTAGACTACAAGCACTCAATTACACACACAAACATAATAATAAACTACTCCCCACACTTAAGTTCGACATTGCCCTCAATGGCGTAAATTAAGGGGTAGAACAATGTTACCGCATAGCTTGGCGAGTGAAAGTCAGGACATAATAGGGCCGGGTTCTAGAGAGGAGAAAGCTTCACATGGAAAAAAACACAAAAACACAAAAAATTCTTGCACAATGTGAGGTTATTTCATAATAATAATACTTAACATGAAAACAAACACAAACCTATATATGTTGGGTTACCTCCAACAAGCGTTACTTTAACGTCACAAGCTAGACAGTTGCTCCTTATGCTTCTTTCCATCCGAGAACCTCCTTGAAGTTGAAGTTCTCATCGGTGAGATGAAGTCTCCATTCCCGGATGGTGGAATTGGGCTTGGCATGGTTGCTCGGGACAGTAATGGGAAGTTTTGGCTGGCCGATGCAAAACGTATGATGAGTGGTTGGAGTGTAGAGATGGCGGAGGCCCTGGTTGCCGTAATAGGAGCACAGATGATACCATTGCTTCATACCACAAAATTGCTCCTAGAATGGGATAGTATGCAGGTCATAAGTAAGTTAAACTATTCATAGGTGGATCAGAAAGAGATGGGGGTGCTATGTCGCAGTATCAGACAATGTTTGGAACGAACGAATAAGGCTAGCTTGCGACATATTCCTCGCGAAGCTAATGGTGCTGCTCATCTGATGGACAAGACATTTACCTTGCCGAATGATAGGGTGGTGTGGCTTGATAAACCACCAGATTTTTTGATTGATTAATTAAAGCTTGATGTTGTAACAGTTGTGCTTTGATCAATAAGATTACAGGTTTCCATAAATAAAAGGTTTGGTTAATAAATTGTATTTACCCTAATCTAACATGCTATATAACTTTCATTTCAAGTCTTAATTTACTTTTTTTCACAGCTAAATCATATTAATTATTGTGATCTTCAAGATGTCATCCACTTGAATATATTTTAGAACAAAAAAATGGGAACATTTATTAGCAGTCCATACCATGTGGTAATCTTTGGCAATACATAAAATTATACCACGTGTGACGGAAGCGTAGCATAGTGGGATGCACATAGCATAGTGTAGAATTGTTACATACATGATAGTAGAAATTTATTAACCATCATTTTCCACGTTGAATCATCGTATACTACCTGCTACAACCCCATACGAAGGTGGTATAGGGTAGTATATTTAGTCTTGAAATTTTTTCCCTCATAAACTTGTAGATATATAGATCATAATGAACTCGTTCCTTACGATCAAAATATTTCAAAATCCGAATTAAAAACATAGGTGATACCAGCATTGTAACGAGTATTGGTGGTATGTGTTAAGAACCACTTGATCCAAATAAGTCGACTGGTTGGGAGAGATCCATGTGTGATACTTAACCACCTCCTTACACGCCCCCTCAAGCGAAAGCCAACTCGTGATCTTGAAGTTTGCACAACGATTAATATGACATGGCATTGGAGCTGGTTTGGACAAATGGTCGTGTGTTCGAATCTCCACGACCCCCATGAATTTGCTTTCGTTTGAAGCGACGTGTAAAAGTGTGGTATAAGATCCATAATAACCTTCTCCCAACAGATCGAGTTATTCGGATGAACTTTATAAAAATGAATTTCTCAAAATATATTAAAACTGAATATCATATCATAAATGAATTCGTTCTCACCTTTTAAACATATTGCCACTTAAAATCACTCTATGCTGCACCATTTAGTATTGTCATAAAAATAATTGCTTGGAGCAGTTGGTGGCCTAAGCGGCGTCGCCACAATCCATTCGCATCATTGTTACCAAAAACGTACGTTGGCATCGTAACTAAAAAGTAAAGAAGTGTCCAAAATTTCATAATTGCTGACCAATTTGTGGATCGCCATTCGACCACGCTCATGATACATGCGTGAGAGTCCATCATATGTAGTCATTATTGGATCATTCGTGATACAGACAAGACAGACACGAACAAGAAATAAAGGAGGTCAACAACCCTCAGAACAATTTAGTAATGGGAAACATAGACGTTCAACTCCCTGACAACAAGCAGAGCTTTGAAATCAAGCACGATCCTTTTGGCCACCGCGTATCCACGAGCGAAGCGGAAGACTCCGGTCCCGCCGACGACCGCCAACTCGTTCACCATCGACGTCGGGGAGATGGGCCCGAGCAAGCAAAGCGAGCTGCCGTTGTACTCCCCGTGGGTGAACCCCAGATTGTACACCATCTCCAAAACGAAGTCGTTTTGGGAAGGGAAGGTGTAGGTTCCCCGACCGTTCCCGACCGGTTTGGAATCCCGCTCGGGGCCCAGAGTCAACGGGTCGTCGGCCACGAAAAGTCCGCCGTAGAAAGTGTTGTTGTCCAGAATTTTGGTGACGGGGATGGCGGTGGCGTTGGGCCCGCCGAAGACGTCGTGCATGTAGAAATGGAGGTGGCTTATCTTTTCTTCCTTGAGGGCTAGTGCTGCTCGGGAAGATTTTGTGGAGAAGCTATGGGATTCAGCACAGGAGAAAGTGAGGATTAGGGTTATGGTTAGAATGAGAAGGTAATGGGAAGCGAGTAGTTTAGCCATGGGGATGACTAGCTCGCTAGCTAGTTAATTAGTTAGCTCTGTTGTGAGATTGGCAATTGGAGAAAATAAGGGAGGCTGCCTATTGCAATGGATGGAGTTAATTGGTCTATCTGCACATGTGTTAATTTATAGGCCACGGGGAGACTAATTAATGCTGCAGTTTATTACTTACTCCGTCGACTTACAGTACTTTGGGGTACGCGCGGTTGTGCTTGTTAGTTGAATTTGTGAACATGGGTTAGGTGCCTGATCAGACAAACGAATCTCTCTAATCATCATTAGACTAATTAAGCTTCCCTTCACAATTTACGTATTACCAATGGCCAATAATTGGTTATGTTTCTTGTTTAATTTGGAGAAGCTTGACTAATTAAAGAGTGAAATGTGTACGTTTTAGTACTTTTTAGATGCACGAGAATGAGTTATTTCTTCATGGTATGTACGTAGTCGATAGCATATGGACGATTCATGCCATCAAAATTCGTTTACTATATCATGCTTTGATTATTTTTTTATGAAACTTGCTCCCGCTATGAGCACAAAACTAGATAATATCTGTCATCTATGTACTTTAATTGTTATTCACAATTGTTACTATCAGTGGATGTCAGTATGTTGCTCTACTTGCAATCACGAAACTGATTTGTTGATTGTTTATTTCACTTGACTTTATACTTGTTGTTTTCGTTTGGAATAAATAATGACTAACAAGGGTTGCCGCGGCCCGTAATTGGGCCCAGTGAGTCAGCTCTTTCGAAAGGGCAAAAGTGATCAGGATACGTTGTTCAATAATAAATAGCGTAATCAAGCCATTAAAAGGTGATATATGCATATGCTTAATCGTCAGATAAGTTGATCAAATGTCAATGGTTTTGCCGTTTTGGTTCATGTAGTTGTTTCTAGAACGTGAATTAATTTCCATATAAGCAGTACGCATGGACCAACTTCATTAACAACTCAATGCAGTTGTTAATTCTCTATTTATACATGACCTGATATAATAATAATATAGATAAGACTTTGTGCTGGATGGATTTACCTGCTCCAACCAAAGAGCCAGCTACTACGCCTGCTACGTACCTACACTGTTATCACGGTGTGATTCAGCGACAATTAAATGACACACGTACGTCGACTCTTATGCTCGTCAATATAATAGCAAGATTAATGGATTCATCCTAACCATAAACTCCAAATGAAAGGATCAACAAGAAACAAAAGTATTGGTGTTCAAGCATAATCTTAAAGGCTTATACCCTTGATATGTTCCCTCACATCACAAATAGGGATATATGGTAATCGGATAGATGGCGTGTGGGCCAATTCTATTTCCCCTATAGACCCATCCACTGATCCACAACTGCATTTTTCATTTGCAAATCCACTCAACTGGCAGATCCAAGATTATTGGATAGGTGTGTTGCGGTCGATAAAAATAATAAAAGTGATTTCGCATACATTAAATGATTGATGATTAAAATTTAAGAACTGCAAACAATAAAAGCGTTTTTGTACAAAAATACATGTAAAATAATAACTAAACTAGAAAACAAGTTGCAAATAACTTTAAGAAAATTTAGGAAAAGAAGCTTTAAGGAAATTAGACCTGGAATCTTTTTTCTGTAATTAATACGACCTGGAATTCAATAATTGTTTACTCTCGTAGAACCAACTGATTAGATACCTAACCTGAAGTATGATAAATCTTATATTTACAGAGTTTAATAACTTATGACAATAAATTTATTGTAATATAATAAAAGTGTGTAGGTTATAATTATCAGAAGTGTGTCGGAGGACATATGTTCAATTTTGGATAACGAGAAAACCTGAATATCTCTCACAAAATTTCAGATGGACCTGACACATCTTTCTATAAGTGGGTCCGTGACTCACTATGACACAAATACTTACAATGGCTAAGTGTAACCAATGAAAGGGACTGCAGTATAGTGGCTCAAGTAATAAATATCTAATCCACGGGTCTCTAGAGTTACTATTACTCAGCTTCAGTTCATTATCTATCAAACCAGATTAAGATGGAAGAACTAAAACTACTCTAACAAACTACAGTTAAAGTTAATCTAATTACAGGTTGGGAACTCACTTAGGTATGATTCCCCCTAGCCACTAGCCAGATTAATGATTGATGATCTCTAACCTGTTTCACTTTCATTCACAATGCGGAGAATCCTTGACTAGACCTTGAGTCTCGACTAAAGGAACAAGGCCCTCTTGGGTCGATTTCCTTGAGGGACGTATCCTTCTCTAGAACAACCGATCAAGGCGTTCTGAACTAGACTCCCTCTATCGAAAGTAGGAGTACTCCTACAATCATCCAATCAAACAAACATAGCTAGGGTTCCTCAAAACCTAAGTGAAGGGAAGTTACTCCATAGAGAAGAGAGAGACTGCAGTAAGAATCTTCAAATGATCAGTCTTCAAGTCCGGGCTTGTTCCTCGAGCTTCCAAGGCGAAGAAATCCTCCAATTCCACTCGAAGAATGCCATCCAATCACCCTCTCTCTCTCTCTCTCTCTCTCTCTCTCTCTCTCTCTCTCTCTCTCTCTCTCTCTCTCTCTTTGGTTCTTCCCTTGGGTGTTTAGGATGCAAAAACGCACAAAACAAGCTTTTAACAGCTTGCGTTCGCGATCCCCGGTCAGAATACCCGGTCGGGTATTTTAGGTGGCGACCGGGGATTGTTGAAACGCACCGTCGAGGACAGGGAATTAATCCTCGGTCAAGGTCAAGAATACCTGACCGGGGATTTATGCTCAATGCCCAGGCCCCCTTCTGCTTCTCAAATGCCCAAAAGTGATTTTCCCCGGTATGCTCAGATTAATATATGGCCGGGTATTTTTGCTCATGGCCGGGTATTTTGCTCCTCCAGCACACTTCAACTCAAACGTGCTCCTTTCGACCCGAAACTCGTTTCTTCGCCTCGATGCCAACGCCAAGCCCTGAAATATGACATACACACACAACCTAGTGTGAAATCGGCATAAACACGAGAATCAATATCTCCAACGGCTCAAGAATACGGGTAAAACATGTGCAATTAACGGTCTGTCAAATTCCCCCACACTTAACCGTTTGCTTGTCCCCAAGCAAACCTAACTCAAACCAATGCAACTCTCCAGACCTCTATAGCAACAAACAACCCCGATCGTCGGTAGAGGATTTTCTAGATCATATAGCAGCTTACGAGGTCAACTTGTCTTCTAAGACGTCCCCTATCTCTCTCAATGCGAGTACTAGACTCAAGCCAGGATCATGAGAAGAAATGGAAGTAAGACAGCCTTCATGGATAAAGGGACTCACACAATTCACAACCAAGGACTCATTGCACCGGGGTGCTCTTTCACTTCATTTCACCGTTGGAACCTCTTTTTTGTTTTTTTTTTTGCTCTTTCATTAACACTTTTTTCATTCACTTGGCGGGGGTTGCAACTGCAGTCTTTAACTCCATTTCCTCAACTCGTGTGGAGAGTCAATGAAATTAAGGGGGGTCGGAAGCTCTATCCGTGCCCTTAAAAACACATCCTCGAGTAGGCACACCGTTCAACGGGTGAAAATTTTACTTGTACTAGAGACAGCTTAGCTTCACCTTGTAGGAGTACCCGACTAAGGATCACTAAAATCTCTTCCAAAACCCGATTTTGTGCAATGAACGGTGCCACAGACGTTGGGCTTACCCCATTTTTAAGATTTCGATGATTTCGACATGGAGGACCAACTGCTTTTCATTTCCCACATGAGCACCCTGTTCGATACACGAGTCCAGAACACAATCCAACACATAGTCCATTACCACATGAATTCAACGGTCTTAGCTCCACTAATTCACAAAATCAACTGGCACAACACAAAGTACTTCAACATCCTCCATAGTGCTATACTACCTCCCTAGATTTCACATTACTATAGAGACTGTCAATTTAAAGAATACTGAGCAGGCAATTTGCAAGGAAACACGTAGTTAGAGCCCTCAAATTCAAAATTTTGGACAGTGGACTAGGCTCAAAGCACACAAACAGCCAAACATCCACCCGCATACATAATCGAACATCCCCCCACACTTAAGCACGGCATTGTCCTTAATGGAGGAAAGATAAGGAGGGTAGAACGAAGTTACCATATCAAGGGTGAATGATGGTGGACGGGGCAGGCGGTGCATTCCAGGAGGAGAGAGTAGTCGGAACACAAACACCACACAAAATCTCACAAAGGTTGAGTTATTGACTCTAAAATCAAAGAACAAAACTGACTTAACCACGGTTAAATAGAGAAAGAAATGCAAACCGACTGGTTGGGTTGCCTCCCAACAAGCGCTCTTTCACGTCGTGAGCCAGACGATGGCTTCTAAGTTTCGGTCCACCCCAGAACCTCTTTGAAGTTGTGGTTCTCGTCAATGAGGTGGAGTCTCATGTCACGAGCATGTGGTGTGTTAGGTGCTGAAGGCTCATGCACTTGATGCAGATGACGTCTCCACCCTCGAGACCTCTTCTTCTCTTCTCTCGTCTCATTGCCCCAAACTAGATATGATATCGATTGGTCACCATCGCGTCCACCAAGAGGGACCGATGTCGATGTGGCCTTGGTATGACAAAGAGACACTGCAAATTGGTCCTTGCTAAGCAGTTCCTCAAAGTTTGGTGGAGATATCACATGTAACTCATGGTCGGTGCAATCCTCTTCCACCTCGACTTTGTCCTCGGCCTGGACGCCAATTGCTTCTTCAACCCCCCTTCCCTCTTCATGTGGTATCACCCCTGGGAAATGATCAAGAACTCCTTCTGATTCACTTTCGTCATCCTCCACAACTTCTTTCTGCACCCTTTCTAGCTCTTCTTCTTCCAGAACGGATTGGAGGGCAAGTCGCCAAGCAATTTCTTTGATGAGATCTTCTTGCATCTCCTCACTCATGCCCGCCTCTTCAAAGCTCAGTGTGGGATGTGGGAAGGTGTGGTCGGCTACGACAGGACATTCACGATCATGATCATCACGGGAGCTCTCCGTGACAACTTCTGTGTGCTCCACAATGTCTTTGTAGCCTTCGTCTTCCTCGTCCTTTTCTTGTATAGTAGCCGAAGGGTGATCTTGATCAGACTGTACATAAGATTTCTCAAGATCATCGATGCTCCTCTTTATGCTCAGGATGATCTCCTCTGTTTCACGATAGGCCTGGGTACAAAGATCCATCATGGAGCATGATCTCTCACTGTCTCGAGCAAACTGCTCCATGAGAAGCCTCAATTCATAGTTTGGATCTGGCTGTGGAGTATAGCATGGCTCTGCAGAATGGCCCGTGAAGGCCACTATGGGTAACTCCAGCTCCGATGGCCCTTCTGGTTGTGGGAGAAATTCTTCTTGATAAGGAGGTTGTTCTTGATATGTTCAGGGGTCTGATTGTTCTCCGTAGTAAGGGAGTTGGTACTGGAACCCGAATCCATAGTCTTCTCTTCCTTGATTGCTCCAGGGAGTCTCAGGGTAATACCACTCGGATGGTGGTGGATACCCCCACTGGTTGGAGAAGCCATGAGGATCCATGATTCAGATCTGCACCAACAAAAACACCCCAGTGAAAAGCAAGGGTGGAAAAGAAAAGAAAAACGCTAAAATAACAAACTTCTTCCTTTCCTAATAATCTAGAAAGTTCCCCGACAACGACGCCAAAAACTTGACTCGGTATGACACAACTCCTTACAATGGCTAAGTGTAACCAATGAAAGGGACTGCAGTATAGTGGCCCAAGTAATAAATATCGAATCCATGGGTTTCTAGAGTTATTATTACTCAGCTTCAGTTCATTATCTAGGAAACCAGATTAAGATGGAAGAACTAAAACTACTCTAACAAAGTACAGTTAAACTTAATCTAATTACAGGTTGGGAACTCACTTAGGTATGATTCCCCCTAGCCACTAGCCAGATTAATGATTGATGATCTCTTACCTGTTTCACTTTCATTCACAATGCGGAGAATCCTTGACTAGACCTTGAGTCTCGACTAAAGGAACAAGGCCCTCTCTCTTTGGTTCGTCCCTTGGGTGTTTGGGATCCAAATTCCAGCTCTCCCTTGCAAAAACGCACAAAACAGGCTTTTAACAGCTTACGTTCGCGATCCCTGGTCAGAATACCCAGTCGGGTATTTTAGGTGGCGACCGGGGATTGTTGAAACGCACCGTCGAGGACAGGGAATTAATCCCCGGTCAAGGTCAAGAATACCCGACCGGGGATTTATGCTCAATGCCCGGGACCCCTTCTGCTTCTCGAACGCCCAAAAGTGATTTTCACTGTTCTGCTCAGATTAATACCCGGCTGGGTATTTTTGCTCATGGCCGAGTATTTTGCTCCTCTAGCACACTTCAACTCAAACGTGCTCCTTTCGACCCGAAACTCGTTTCTTCGCCTTGATGCCAACGCCAAGCCCTGAAATATGACATAAACACATAACCTAGCGTAAAATCGGCTTAAAACACGAGAATCAACATCTCCAACGGCTCAAGAGTAGGGGTAGAAACATGTGCAATTAACGGTCTATCAGTCCGCCTCTATCGTTCTCAGTCCCATACTTATGAAATGTTATGTGTCCCAAATATTCACTCTGACACCTCCAGGTATTTAAACATGGAAGTCAAGATACATATCACGTGAATTCGATCATACTAGGTCTCACCGAAATTTAGAATATTTGGAACATTTACTCAACACTCGACTAGTGAAGTCAAGACAATAATTTATTTGAAAGATGTACATCTCAATAATTCTCAGCACTATTATTATCTCTTTGTCTTGAAGTGAGGCTCAAGATATTTGCAGTTTAATCGAATCTCCATAAAATGGTTCGCCAAATTAACTTGTCTAACGGTCTTTTTTTTAGGTTGTAATGTGATTATGATCTGGGACACAGGGAATTCATTTTTTTTTATAATAATCTGCACGGAGCTTTATTAATCAGCGAAAACTGTTACATCGTCCAGCTTCAGCTGATCAAGCAAACACATAGGGGATCTATCGAACCACACCTCGGCTTCATTAAGCCTCATTTTAACATGCGCCATAATATGAACTGCCTCATTTGCCTTCCTATTAGCGTGTCCCCAACTTCCTCCACCTGTCGTCTCCTAAAGCCGGCGGATGTTCCAACAAACCACTCCCAGCTCGGTGTGGACGTGATCTGCCATTGACAACCTACTGACAAAATTCAAGCAGTCCGTCTCAAGGATAGGGATTCCCAGCTGGTGTTGTCTTACTAACATCAACCCAAACTCACCCGCGAGGGCCTCACCCATTTTCGGATCCCTTCTGTCCCTAATCATCTTTGCCGCAGCGAGAACAAAACTTCCCCCAGCATTCCGGATCACCACCACCAAACCCATGCCGCCATCAACCACACCTAAGTCCACATTTACTTTAATCATGCCTGGGTTTGGTCGTTTCCATCCCTGTATCATAGCTGGAGCATTTCCTTCTTGCAACACCTCTTGGTATTGTCGGTAATCATTTAGAAAGGCTTGCGCCCTCATCGCAATCTCCTCCTCCGGCAACTTTGCTCTATTGAACAAATGCGCATTGCGCTCCTTCCATAAGTACCATAATAGCACACTCCACTCCGCAAACTCTTCATCCTTTGCCGTTCTTGCAACTTTTGACACCCATTCCAGGCAATCATCGCTTCCCCTCATCTCGAACCATTCTGCTAAATATGTCCCCCGCCAAACTCTACCTGACCATCCGCACTCCTCAAAAAAATGTACTTAGGTCTCTTTCAAATTACAAAAAGGACACGCATCTCCCCTTCTCGTGCTTCTCGTGCTCACGTGGTCACCCGTAGCAATGAGTTCCTTGCGAAACGCCACATAAAGTGACGTACCTTTGGCGGCACGTTTATTGACCAAATAGCTTACCACAGTTGTTCACTCCCCACTTGTTGTGCTCCTGTTTGGCCCTTAAAACCCTCCAACCAGACTCGATAACCATCGCGAACCTCTTATCGCCTAGTTGTACTCGTCGCCCAAATTTGCTTATCCTGCTCGCTTAAACTTCTCAGTGGGATTCGCAAAATGGCTTCTGCCATCACTGAAGGAAAACAACTTTCAATAAGAGCTTCATCCCACTGTTCAGTATCCACGTCGATAAGCTCGCAGACCTTCGAGTCCACCGGCAGTCCCATCAGTGGCGATTAAACAAAGAAACCCGGTGTATCTGGTACCCATCTATCCCCCCATATCTTCACCGTATCACCATTCCCAATTCTCCAACGCATATCGCTACATAAAAATTCCTGGGCACTCATCAAACTTCTCCACACAAAACTTGGCTTGTACCCAATATTTGCCTCGAGCAGCGTACTATGCTTGTAGTATTTTTCCTTCATCATCCTAGCAATCAAAGAAGATGGTCGTTGATGTAAGCTCCACAGTTACCTAGCTAGTAGAGCTGTATTAAAGCCCCGCAGGTCACGAAAACACATGCCACCTTCCGATTTCGGGTACACTAGCTTCTCTCTCGCAATCCATGTGATGCGTTGCTCCTCTCCTTTTTTTTCCCCACTAGAATCTCATGATCAATCCATGTATGTTGTCGATTTTCCCCTCTGGTATTCTAAAGACAGACATCGCATAGGTAAGTTGAGCCTGACCCACCGACTTTATCAACACCTCCCGAGCCGCCGCCGACATATTTCTTTCCTTCAAACCCGAGAGTTTCTTCCGCACTCGGTCCTTAATAGCAGCGAACAGTTCTTTTTTTGATCTACCCGCTTCCGTAGCTAGGCCGAGTTACTTTTCATGCTTTTCCACAACCATCATATTAAAGAGGTCTCCCACTTGAAGCCGTTGGTGCGGTTCCACGCTAGCCCCAAATGAAACCTCTGATTTTTCAAAACTGATCATCTACCCAAATTCCTGCTCATAGTCATGCAATATCTTCTTCAACTCCTGACCTTCCTTCAGAGTTGCCCTGGCAAAAAAGATAGAATCGTAAGCAAAGAAAATATAAGATACAGCCGTGCCCCCTCCCCTTCCCACTTGCAATCCATGGATCCTTCCTTCTCGCATTACTTTTGCAGTATATGCTGACAGACCCTCAGCCACCTTAAGAAAAAGGCATGGGGGTAATGGTTCTCCTTGTCGGAGTCCCCTGTTTGGTAAGAAACTGGGCGAGCGATGCCCATTAACAAGAATCGAGTAAGAGACTAATGTCACACACATCATAATCAGTCTGACTCATCGATCTGCAAATCCCAACTTCCTCATTACTCCCTCCAGAAATCACCATTCCACTCTGTCATATGCCTTGGCCATATCCGTTTTGGCTGCAAAGTGACCCTTTTTAATCTTCTTCCTCCTCTTCATAGTGTGAAAACACTCAAACTCTGCCATTATATTATCTGCAATGAAACGGCCCGGACAAAAGCGCTCTGTTCCGGGGATATCACCACATCCAACAATCCCTACATCCGATTTGCCAGAGTCTTTGCCACAATCTTATAGAGCACATTACATAAACTAATCGGCCGAAATTCCTTTGGCGATTTTGGTTCTTTCACCTTAGGTATTAGGGCGATTAGTGTATGGTTCAAATGCGGCGGGAGACTTTCATTTTCCAAAATTTGCATTACCATCACGGTGACATCATCACCTATGATATGCCAAAACTTTAAGAAGAAAAGGACGGACAAACCATCCTCTCCGGGGGCCTTCCTCTTTCCCATTTGTTTCAGTGCTGCAAATATCTCATCCCGCGTAAAAGGGTGCAGAAGCTTCTCATTAGCCTCCTGCGGGACTCGCTGTACAACAGCATCCAGGACCGGCGTGAAAACGGGTTGTTTCCCTGCAGTAAAAAGGCGATCGAAATAGCCTAGGAGACACCCAAAAACTTCATCCATTCCCTTCCACCACCGCCCATCTTCATCTTGCAATTTTGTAATCGTGTTTCTCTTCCGTCTCGCACTGGCGTTTCTGTGGAAATAGTTTGTGTTCTTGTCACCACCCTTAAGCCAGTCCGCTCGGGAGCGCTGCTTCCAGAACAACTCCTCATCACATTCAATATTTTCAAGTTCCGACCGCAACCGATTTCCTTGTGCCAATACTGGGGACACACGGAATTCATAGAGTAGTGAAAAGTATAAGGTTTCACAAATAGCAAAACCAACATCATAATAAAACCAAAGTTTCTCTACTTTTCTCCTTAAATCATATTTTTTGCACGAAAGAAAAGGAAAACATATTGAAAATTAAGAGTTTACTTAGCAATGTGGTTTAAAATAAAATCCTTTTGAACGTGCACCAAATTTGGTAGCTAGCGTGCTCTTTTTCCTTTTTTTTTCTTTCCCTCTTTTTTCTTTTCTTTTTCTCAAAGCAATCGAAAGAAAAACCCACACAATTGAAGTTTAAGAATAACATTCAACTTCACCAAAGATAAGATAGTCTAACATTAAAACTGTCGCGACAATGAAGGTTTGGAAGTTGCAGATTCCAGGTTCGAATCCAAGTAAGGCTCGTTGGTGTTCTCGGAAGTACAAGGTTGCTGGGGGCGAAGCTCCGTTGACGTCGAATTTGATTGCAGGTGGCCCCTAGATTTAGTAGGACCCGCTGTCACAAATTGGAACGTGGGGCTGAGGTTCCTGGGTTATAAAAAAAATAACAGTTAACGTCTAGGCGAATGAGACAGTAGGCAAGACCAAAACGTTTGCCTTATATAGCTAGTGCTTTTTTGAACTTTGGTTATTATCAGCCTTAGACAATGTTAATCAGTTGAATATTTTGTAATTTATGGACATTTACCGATACCAATCACTACTGAAAAATGTACTTTTGCCTACCGTAATTTCACTACCGTATGTAATACGGTAGTTAATAATAACTTTTACCTACCGTATTTTTATATGGTGGGCATATGAATGTAATACGGCAGTGACTTGTATGGTTCATTTAAATACCTGTGCGAATAATACCTGCCCGACCTGTAATATCATGAGCCGGGACATGTATATTGAGATACCCGCCCGCCCCAATGCCATCTCTTCTTAGGCGACCAATACTACGGTGCCGCTCTAAAAAGTGAGGCACCGGTAACGTTGTTTCCTATTGGTCCACGTGGAGCTGACGTAAAATACAACTGTTACGTAAAATACAAATCCATTACGTAAAGGGTACGAAACAATAGCTATTTCTTACGTAACAGTGAAATTAGAAGCATTACGTAAACCTTCCGTAATGACTTAGCTCTTTACGTAACAGGACGTTAATACTCATTACGTAAAGAGACCTTCTATTACGTAAGGCTTCCGTAATGAAATTTTCCAACTGTTAAGTAAAATACACATTCATTACGTAAAGGTTACGAAACGATAGTTATTTCTTACGTAACAGTTAAATCGGAAGCGTTACGTAAGGCTTCTGTGACGACTTAGCACTTTACGTAACGTGAGGTTAATACTTATTACATAAAAATACCTTCCATTACTTAAAGGTTACGGAACAAGAGTTATTTCTTACGTAATAGTTAAATCAGTAGCGTCACGTAAGGCTTCCGTAATGACTTAGCATTTTACGTAATATGAGGTTAATGCTCGTTACGTAAAGACACATCCTATTACGTAAGGCTTCCGTAATAGATCTTTTACAACTGTTATGTAAGCTTACCATATGTTGCGTAAGCATTACGTAATGCCTATTGTATTTCACGTAATGCGACCTGTGAAATCTGCTATAGCAGGTAAAAAAATTCAAGTTACCTTACTTAAAGTTACCGTAGAAAATCCCTAAAAAGTATTGAACATACAAGGGTCCTAAATGACTCAATGGCCGAATCTTAAAAAAAATAGTATCTGACCTATTGCCTTACTTTCAACAAACTTCCATACTTGAAAAGGTTCTTCCCAAAGGCATACAGACCAAGCAGAAAGCTCCACACTTATGGATCATTTCATTCATCATAACATGACGAACCAGGTACCAAATGTTAGCTTTCACTTCCACATTGAATCACTCTATTACTCTCAGCAAACATAGGATTTTTTTGTGGAACCAGTGGACAAAGCATCAATGAACTCGTCTAGTTCTTTCTTGATGGTCTCACCTTCTTTCTTAATCCATGTGAGTGATATAGGCAAGCAGTGAAGCAGAGTGAAACTTGAGAGAATTTCCTTCTGAGGGTATGTATAATCACTAATCATTGGAGGTAGATCGATTTGGTAACGAGAGGTTGGATTGCGACCTGGCCAATTCGAGGTAGGAACTTGGTTTATCTCGAGGTTTCATCAGTTTGACTTGAGCCGAAGATTCTAGTAGCTGCAGAGGCTGCTGACCTGCAGATTCATTGGCATTGATACCATTGCTATCAATTGAACCTCATCCATACGGGAGAAAAGCAACTAACAAAGATATTCTTAGTAAACAAATAGTGTCTAACTCTTGCAACTAACAATGAATTCTCCTCGCCATTAAATTGAACTCTTGAAGAAATAATGGCACTGTGGCCTGTACAGTATGTAGAATTCTCCCACTATTAAATTGAACTCTTCATATTACATTGGTATATATGCAAGTTCACGAGCAGCTGGTTTTCTGAGTAAGCGCAGTAACCAAATCTGTCTACAGTGACAGTAGAAGCAAATCCGCAATAATCTTAATGAAAAAATATCTAGGCAAAATACAATTGTATATCCACAACTATCAGGTTTGTAACAAATATATCCACAATTATCGAAATACACGAAATATCCAAAAATCGGAAGGTTGTGTGACAAATCTATCCACTTCCGTCTGAAACTATAACGGCGCGTCGGACGGCGTTAAATTGACTAACGGAATGCTGAATCGATGCCATCTCACCTGCCACATAAGCCAAAAAGCAACCAAACTTTATACGTAGATGCCAAATAGGCTAGTTGAATAAAGGCAAAATACAGCTGTATATCCACAACTATCAGGTTTGTGACAAATATATCCACCGGTATCAGGTTTGTGACAAATATATCTACAACTATCGAAATACAGGAAATATCCATTTCCGTCCACTTCGTTAACTCCGTCAGTTAACTTGATGACTAGACAGACGGTGGATGCTTAGTTAGCGTGTTTCTGGCCCCACTGAATGACATGGATTAAAAGAAGGAAAAAATTTAAAAAACCCTAAAAACCACAGACAGCGAGACTAAAAATCCAACCCAGAAACATGCCCGATAACCACTTATCCTCCTCCGATCGACGGCTCCACCCCCAAATAACCCTACCCCAAGCCCAGATTTCGATTCCAACCACAATCCCCAACAATTGCCTCCCTTTTACTCCGACAGCTTCCATGCAGACGGCGGCATGGTGATACCAAGCTTGAATCTCAAACAAAAAAAAAAACTTGAATCTAACCAAATCGCCAACAGAGAAAACTGCTGCAGCAAGGTCTAACAGATAACGGTGTAAAGTTTCGTTGCTTTTTGGCTTATGTGGCAGGTGAGATGGCATCGATTCAGCATTCCGTTAGTCAATTTAACGCGTTTGACACGTCGTTATAGTTTCAGACGAAAATGGATAGATTTGTCACACAACCTACCAATTTTTGGATATTTCGTGTATATCGATAGTGGTGGATATATTTGTCACAAACCTGATAGCTGTGGATATACAACTGTATTTTGCCTAATTTTTTTTCACTTTTAATACACGTCATTTAGTGGGGTCGGAAACACGCCAACTAAGCATCCACCGTCTGTCCAGTCATCAAGTTAACTGACGGAGTTAACGGAGTATACGGAAATGGATATTTAGTGTATTTCGATAATTGTGGATATATTTGTCACAAAACTGATAGTTGTGGATATACAACTGTATTTTGCCAAATATCTAAATGAAAACATAAGTATTCGAAAATTAAATTAAATAGTAAAATTCAGGAATAATTAGGTTAGCACTGGGTAGAACTTATGAGTGCGCATCATTAACAAAAAAAAAAAAAAAAACGAGCAATTCCATCCGCAAGTGAAAATTCTAGGTCTAGAATTAAAGTAATCATGATTGATATACATATTGCGTGAAACTTTAATGTAGGAACTAAGAAGTGCGTGGAGAAATTTTCAAACCTTCTGGTTAAGTAAAATTTAGAGAATTGAATTGCTAACGAGTATGCAATCAGAAACTATGTAATGCAAGAATCGAAGGTGGATAATATACAGTAACTTACACAAGATGATGCCAACCTACAGTCTAGAAACTATGAGCAAGGCGTGCCAAAGTCGACGGGAAAGGTGCCAGAAGTGCTTTAAATAGACTGCCGGAGAACGGGAGCGAGGAAGACCAACGAAGTAATTTTCAGTCCCATTTTTCCTTTTTCCTGTTTCTGGAGAAAAAGAATTCAAACCAATAGTCGTTTTTTTAAGTGAATTAATGGGAAAAAAAAATAATACAAACCGGCAGAAAAGTAAAGGAACGTGTAAGTTTAGACCTGGCAATCGGGGCGGGTTGGGAAATTCGGTTACGGGTCTGGTCATGTTTGGTTGGCTTATTTCGAGTTAAATATTGACCCAACACATTCGGTTTCGGGTCGGGTTACAGGTCATTTCGGGTTATGAGCGTTCTCAGAAACAATATCAAACATGCTTCAAATTTACTTAAAGAACACAAATTTTCACATATGCATGACAATAGTTTACCTAACACATGTTAATTAACATATTCTCAAATCCTTCCATGCTAATGAAATGAAATATAAATTGCGCAAATCATCAAAAAACAATCACAAGAGTAATTCTACTACAAGAAACACATGATATTTTATCATCCTTAAACTCCAAACATGTAATTCAAATCCTGTGATTTATTTTTAAACATCTCACCAATTTATGAGTGATTTTATCATATTTTGGGAGTAATATATTAACTGGAACGGGTCTAACGGGTCGACCCGCTAACCCATCCAACCCGACCCAAAAAATCACGGGTTATCGAGTTCGGGCCATTCGGATTTCGGGTTACAAAAATTTTCTAGTTTTCGGGCGGTTTCGGATCGGGTTGTAATTTGCCAGGTCTACGTAAGTTGTAACGGAAGAACGACTGACGGCTGAGCCCAACTCTTGGGCAACGAGTTTGGGCTTGATTTTATGGAAATCCAATCAATGCCACATCATTGTCAATGTGGACCAATCAAAAACAGCGACACCGGTGCCGCATTTTTTACAACGGCACCATAGCATTGGCCCGCCACCTCCATGGAGCTCGATGCCGAGAATCAATGTTGGCGGTGTGGGCTAGGGATGGAGGAGATGAAAGGAGGAACGTAAGGTATCGACATGTAAGCGGGAATCTCTAGAGCTCGACGATCGCTTTTCGCCATTCCCTCTCCAAATTTTAAACAGAATAGGGGCCGAATAGAAAACCAGAAAATCGTAGAAGGGAAAGTAGGAATTTTCAATTACGAACTGGAACAGGGGATGAGATTAAGTAAATTATGTAGCAAGGGGTTTCGAAACAAACCCTTGTTACAACGAATTTCGGAAAAAATATTAGGGGTTTTGAAACCCTTGCTACGAAACCCTTGCCATAGGGTCTCTTTTTTGTAGTGAATCTCGCCCTCCCAAAATCTCTGTGCTCGGGCCCAACTGTGAGCGGGTCATCGAATACGTAGACCAAGATGAAGCCCGTTGACGAGTCCTTGGTAGAAGGCGACTGGCACGTTCGAACGTGGGGATTGCTGATCTTCTCTTTCTTGCAGCGTGGTTTCGCAGCAGCAGACAAGATCCGGGAGTAATTAACCGTCGCCAGAATTTGATTCGGCGGCGGCCGTGATCCTTACAGGGAGGGAGCTAAATTGAATGCGGAAAGAGGATGTTCGTCAAGAGAGCTTTGGCCATGGCTTTGAACAAGTGGCCGGACGACGAAATTTGCTTTCGAATTAAAAGTGCAAAAGGAAATCGGAAAACGGCGTGAGTGAGTGATGAGATCCCAATCCGGTTATCAAATTTTTCTCGGCTATTTTCACGATACAAAACACACAAAACGAACAAGGGTAGGGAATAAGGAAAAAAGAAAGAGCCAACAATTAATAATGCGAGACATAAACGTTAAACTCCCTAACAACAACCTGAGCCTTGAAATCAAGCACGACCCTTTTGGTGACGGCGTATCCACTAGCGAACCGGAAAACCCCCGTCCCGCCAACGATCGCCATCTCGTTCACAATCGACTTAGGGGCGATACGCCCCATCAAGCAAAGCGAGCTGCCGTTGTAGTCCCCGTGCGTGAACCCCAAGTTGTAGTTCATCTCCAAAACGAAGTCTTTCGGGGAAGGGAACGCGTAGGTTCCCCCACCGTTCCCGACCGGCTTGGAGTCCCGCCGGGGGCCCAAAGTCAGCGGGTCGTCGGCCATGTACAGCCCGCCGTAGAACGTATTGTTGTCCAGAACTTTGGTGACGGGGATCGCCGTGGCTTTGGGACCGCCGAAGACGTCGTGCATGTAGAAATGGAGGTGGGTAATCTTCTCTTCCTTGAGGCCTAGCGCTGCTCGGGACGATTTTGTGGCGAAGCTATGGGATCCGGCCGAGGAGAAAGTGAGGATTAGGGTTATGGTGAGAGTGAGAAGGTAATGGAGGGCGAGCACCTTGGGCGCCATGGTTTTGATCGAGAATAGCTAGGTCGTGGGGAGAAGTAATTAATATTAGGCAATGAGATTGCCGATTGCAGTAGTGGAGATGGAAATGGATATGAATTTATAGGCAAGGCCAGGGAGACAAAGCATGCTCGGGCTGCTGATGACCCCAACCGTGGCCCCAACTCAGTTCGAGAAACAAATTATTTGAGGTTAGGTGTAGGTGTTTGAAAGACCAGTTTCAACTTGACTAATTCCAACTTGATATGAACTACATCTTTTAGCTTACTAAATGAGCACGACGAGCCAAACTTAAACTCAATTCGACAAGCAAGTAAGTTGATAGAGATATGATTGAATAAAAAACAATCAATTTCCATCTACACTAATTTCTCCATCTAACAATGTGGAAGAACTCAAAATGTTCTTTTTTTCCAATATGTAAGCTCATTTCTAAGAATTTAAAGACTATAACTTTTAACTCTATAAGTGAATTAGTAAGAAACTTATTTTGTTTATTTGATTTATATATAGTTGTATATCGTACGTATTGACTTAGTTCGTGTGCTTGATGAACCAAATCAGAGTTAACTCAAACTCGATTTGTTAGAAGATAATATTGTTTGTCAGCCAACTCATTAAATAACAAGTCGAGGAGTTAGTTTTCCCCGGTTCACTTGTAGCCTTAAGTATGCTGCAACGTAGTATTTTTATCTTTCTTTGTTTGAGTTTCTCTTTGCCTGTTATTGCGAAAAAAATATCAGAAATGTTTAGTACACCCTCAATTGGGTGTATATGCTACGCCCTAGTTTCCAATTAAACTCTGGTATAATCTTAGAATTTTGAATTCTAGTCGTAGCATTTAATTTGTTTAATAAGATCATATAATTTACCTATATTTAGAACTAGTTCATACATATGTTTACTGATAAATTTCTATATAATCATTATATTGTGACATGAATTACTAAAATTGTAACAATCACATTTCATAATGCTATTTCACATGCAAGCAAATAATAAATATTTTCTTTGCAAAAAGTCACACGTTTTTTGTTCATTAATTGTTATCCAATTGAAGATTCAAATTATTTGAGGTTAGGTGTAGGTGTTTGAAAGCCCAGTTTCAACTTAACTAATTCCAACTTGATATGAACTACACACCAGCTTACTAAATGAGCATGACGAGCCAAACTTAAACTCAATTCGGCAAGCAAGTAAGTTGAAAGAAGAAAGTTGATAGAGGTATGATTGAATAAACAACAAATCAATTTCCATCTACACTAATTTCTCCATCTAATAACGAGGAAGAACTCAAAATATTCTTTTTTCCAATATTAGCTCATTTCTAAGAAATTAAAGACTAGAACTTTAAACTCTATAAGTGAATTAGTAAGAAACTTATTTTGTTTATTTGATTTATATATATTTTTATATCGTACGTATTGACTTAGGTCGTGTGCTTGGTGAAACAAATCAGAGTTAGCTCAAACTCGATTTGTTAGAAGATAATATTGTTTGTCAGCCAACTCATTAAATAACAAGTCGAGGAGTTAGTTTTCCCCGGTTCACTTGTAGCCTTAAGTATGCTGCAACGTAGTATTTTTATCTTTCTTTGTTTGAGTTTTGCTTTGCCTGTTATTGCGAAGAAAATATCAGAAATGTTTTTGGTACACCCTCAATTGTGTGTATATGGTACACCCTAGTTTCCAATTAAACTCTGGTATAATCTTAGAATTTTGAATTCTAGTCGTAGCATTTAATTTGTTTAATTAGAGCATATAATTTACTTATATTTAGAACTATTTCATACATATGTTTACTGATAAATTTCTATATAATCATTATATTGTGACATGAATTACTAAAATTGTAACAATCACATTTCATAATGCTATTTCACATGCAAGCAAATAATAAATATTTTCTTTGCATAAAGTCACACGTTTTTTGTTCATTACTTGTTATCCAATTGAAGATTCAAATTATTTGAGGTTAGGTGTAGGTGTTTGAAACACCAGTTTCAACTTAACTAATTCCAACTTTATATGAACTACACACCAATTTACTAAATGAGCATGACGAGCCAAACTTAAACTCAATTCGGCAAGCAAGTAAGTTGAAAGAAGAAAGTTGATAGAGGAATGATTGAATAAACAACAAATCAATTTCCATCTACACTAATTTCTCCATCTAATAATGTGGAAGAACTCAAAATGTTCTTTTTTCCAATATATAAGCTCATTTCTAAGAAATTAAAGACTAGAACTTTAAACTCTATAAGTGAATTAATAAGAAACTTATTTTGTTTGTTTGATTTATATATATTTGTATATCGTACGTATTGACTTAGTTCGTGTGCTTGGTGAAATAAATCAGAGTTAACTCAAACTCGATTTGTTAGAAGATAATATTGTTTGTCAGCCAACTCATTAAATAACAAGTCGAGGAGTTAGTTTCCCCGGTTCACTTGTAGCCTTAAGTATGTTGCAACATAGTATTTTTATCTTTCTTTGTTTGAGTTTTGCTTTGCCTTTTATTGCGAAAAAATATCAGAAATGTTTATAGTAAACCCTCAATTGTGTGTATATGGTACACACTAGTTTCCATTTAAACTGTGGTATAATCTTAGAATTTTGAATACTAGTCGTAGCATTTAATTTGTTTAATAAGATCATATAATTTACTTATATTTAGAACTAGTTCATACATATGTTTACTGATAAATTTCTATATAATCATTATATTGTGACATGAATTACTAAAATTGTAACAATCACATTTCATAATGCTATTTCACCTGCAAGCAAATAATAAATATTTTCTTTGCATAAAGTCACACGTTTTTTGTTCATTAATTGTTATCCAATTGAAGATTCAAATTATTTGAGGTTAGGTGTAGGTGTTTGAAAGCCCAGTTTCAACTTAACTAATTCAACTTGATATGAACTACACACCAACTTACTAAATGAGCATGACGAGCCAAACTTAAACTCAATTCGGCAAGCAAGTAAGTTGAAAGAAGAAAGTTGATAGAGGTATGATTGAATAAACAACAAATCAATTTCCATCTACAAAAATTTCTCCATCTAATAATGAGGAAGAACTCAAAATATTCTTTTTTCCAATATATAAGCTCATTTCTAAGAAATTAAAGACTAGAACTTTAAACTCTATAAGTGAATTAGTAAGAAACTTATTTTTTTTATTTGATTTATATATATATTTGTATATCGTACGTATTGACTTAGTTCGTGTGCTTGGTGAAACAAATCAGAGTTAGCTCAAACTCGATTTGTTAGAAGATAATATTGTTTCTCAGCCAACTCATTAAATAACAAGTCGAGGAGTTAGTTTTCCCCTGTTCACTTGTAGCCTTAAGTATGCTGCAACGTAGTATTTTTATCTTTCTTTGTTTGAGTTTTGCTTTGCCAGTTATTGCGAAAAAATATCAGAAATGTTTATGGTACACCCTCAATTGTGTGTATATGGTACACCCTAGTTTCCAATTAAACTCTGGTATAATCTTAGAATTTTGAATTCTAGTCGTAGCATTTAATTTGTTTAATAAGAGCATATAATTTACTTATATTTAGAACTATTTCAAACATATGTTTACTGATAAATTTCTATATAATCATTATATTGTGACATGAATTACTAAAATTGTAACAATCACATTTCATAATGCTATTTCACATGCAAGCAAATAATAAATATTTTCTTTGCATAAAGTCACACGTTTTTTGTTCATTACTTGTTATCCAATTGAAGATTCAAATTATTTGAGGTTAGGTGTAGGTGTTTGAAACACCAGTTTCAACTTAACTAATTCCATCTTTATATGAACTACACACCAATTTACTAAATGAGCAGGACGAGCCAAACTTAAACTCAATTCGGCAAGCAAGTAAGTTGAAAGAAGAAAGTTGATAGAGGAATGATTGAATAAACAACAAATCAATTTCCATCTACACTAATTTCTCCATCTAATAATGTGGAAGAACTCAAAATGTTCTTTTTTCCAATATATAAGCTCATTTCTAAGAAATTAAGGACTAGAACTTTAAACTCTATAAGTTAATTAGTAAGAAACTTACTTTGTTTGTTTGATTTATATATATTTGTATATCGTACGTATTGACTTAGTTCGTGTGCTTGGTGAAACAAATCAGCGTTAACTCAAACTTGATTTGTTAGAAGATAATATTGTTTGTCAGCCAACTCATTAAATAACAAGTCGAGTTAGTTTTCCCCGGTTCACTTATAGCCTTAAGTATACTATAACGTAGTATTTTTATATTTCTTTGTTTGAGTATTGCTTTGCCTGTTATTGCGAAAAAAATATCAAAAATGTTTATGGTACACCCTCAATTGTGTGTATATGTTACACCCTAGTTTCCAATTAAACTCTGGTATAATCTTAGAATTTTGAATTCTAGTCATAGCATTTAATTTGTTTAATAAGATCATATAATTTACTTATATTTAGAACTAGTTCATACATATGTTTACTGATAAATTACTATATAATCATTATATTGTGACATGAATTACTAACATTGTAACAATCACATTTCATAATGCTATTTCACATGCAAGCAAATAATAAATATTTTCTTTACATAAAGTCACACGTTTTTTGTTCATTAATTGTTATCCAATTGAAGATTCAAATTATTTGAGGTTAGGTGTAGGTGTTTGAAAGACCAGTTTCAACTTAACTAATTCCAACTTTATATGAACTACACACCAATTTACTAAATGAGCATGACGAGCCAAACTTAAACTCAATTCGGCAAACAAGTAAGTTGAAAGAAGAAAGTTGATAGTGGTAAGATTGAATAAACAACAAATCAATTTCCATCTACACTAATTTCTCCATCTAATAATAATGTGGTAGAACTCAAAATGTTCTTTTTTCCAATATATAAGCTCATTTCTAAGAAATTAAAGACTAGAACTTTAAACTCTATATAAGTGTATTAGTAAGAAATTTATTTTGTTTGTTTGATTTATATATATTTGTATATCGTACGTATTGACTTAGTTCGTGTGCTTGGTGAAACAAATCAGTTAACTCAAACTCGATTTGTTAGAAGATAATATTGTTTGTCAGCCAACTCATTAAATAACAAGTCGAGGAGTTTTCCCCGGTTCACTTGTAGCCTTAAGTATGCTGCAACGTAGTATTTTTATATTTCTTGGTTTGAGTTTTGCTTTGCCTGTTATTGCGATAAAAATATCAGAAATGTTTATGGTACACCCTCAATTGTGTGTATATGGTACACCCTAGTTTCCAATTAAACTCTGGTATAATCTTATAATTTTGAATTCTAGTCGTAGCATTTAATTTGTTTAATAAGATCATATAATTTAATTATATTTAGAACTAGTTCATACATATGTTTACTAATAAATTTCTATATAATCATTATATTGTGACATGAATTACTAAAATTGTAACAATCACATTTCATAATGCTATTTCACATGCAAGCAAATAATAAATATTTTCTTTGCATAAAGTCACAATTAAAAAGGATAAATATAACTTATAAAGATAGAATAAAAGAAAAATATATTCATAATAAAAAAAAGTATCATGCGCTGTTTTGAATTAGAGAAAGAAGTGATGAATCTTCTTTTCGACTCTGACTCTCCCCCTCCAGTCGTTGCTTTTATTTATGTTACTTCAAAAGTACTCAAATTTTTTAAAATCCTCTGATTTCTTATTAAATGAATGATATCTTCTTCCGAAAATTCTAGCTAGTGTGAGCTTGATAGTGGACAATCTCATTGCTATTACTAAAACAAACATGAAACATATGCTTGCATATTTGTCCATATGTCAATTCGGATATGTAATTTTTGGAAATTCAAATGGTGAATATACAAGCATGATAACTTATATGCTCTTCTATATTTTCATGAATCTAAGAAATTTTGTTTGCATTGTATTATTTGGTATACGTGAAAGTTATTTCAAACACATTATATACTATTTATAATTATTTTCTATAAAAAAATATAAATTTTAAAATAACTTATAAATTTTCTTATAATACTTTTAATTAAATAAAAAAAGAAACTCATTAAACCATCTGGAAAACAAGAGAAATTTTATAATGTGTTATAGCATTTTTTTTTTTGTTAAAAAATATACTTTGTGGTACAAACTGAATTTGTATTTTTATCGTTATGATACAAATTCAGTTTGTATTCATACATTTTTTTTCGTTAAGCTGGAAGTTTTATTTGAAGCTCTCTTGATCAAAAGATCAAGCATCCGAAAAAAAAAAAAAGACAAATAGAGTTTGTCAACAGAGAAAGCAACAAACCGGCTTCTCACAATAGCGACCGAAAATCACTAACATCAAGGTCACTACAAAATGCTCTATTACCCATAGCTATAAGCAGAATCTCCTCACGTAATTGCCGAAAAAGCACCTGCCAGTCAAGACGAGGGCCACCAAAAACTCTATTACAACGTTCAGTCCATGTTAAGTACATTACCCAGCACCAGATAGCACTTGCAACTCGCTCTTTAGCTCCCCCAGAATGCGCTAGTGAACTTGCTGCTCGAAGCCTGCTTTCCCAGTTGCACGCCCAAGGATGTGCCAATTCTCTAGAGACAACAGAGAAAATATTGCGAGTATACAAAAACTTATAGAAGAGATGTTCTCTAGTTTCATCTGCCGCATTACACAGCACACACTCAGCATATGCAATTTTCCCCCATGCCTGAAGTTTAGTCTTGGTTGCCATCCTGTCAAGAATAATCAACCAAACAATAATTCTATGTCGAGGTATGACATAGCGACTTCAAATAAGTTGCCACCACGGTACAGTTGTATGATGAGTTCGAATCGACTCCCAGACTCTTCCTAAGGAAAACCGCTGCATAGTCTTTCCCTCCCATGACACCACCCCATTCTGATCTACATCAAGGAGAAATCTGAACCAACCACGATGCTTCAACATTTGATGCCAGATCCATGAACCAGAAGTCGTTGCTGAGATAGACTAGAGAAGTCTTCCTTTGAGTCTAAAGTGAATTATCAAAGCAACCCAAAAACTTCCTCCTCGCAAAAACAGCATCCAGAAAAGACGAGCCATACAAGCCACATTCCAAGTATAAAGATCTTTAAGACCTAGGCCTCCCTCTCGTTTAGGTGTCGCAACCACATCCAAAATCACCTTGGCTCTTCCATCATTATCACCATGCCATAAGAAGTCAGAGCATAGCTTATGAATTCTGTCAAGTACTTTCTTTGGTAATAATAGAATAGACATCCAAAACTGCATAATAGAATATATCACTGAAGAGATAAGCTGCAAACGACCTACATAAGAAAGTCTATTAGCAAGCCAGGAACGTACTACTTGTTAAGCTAACAGCAAACAGAGGCAGTCCCAAGTAACGTACAGGGTGGGTACCTTCCTTAAATTCAGTAAGCGCAATTGCGTTGCCCTTATAAAGAACAACGTTCCCTCCAAAAAAGACCTCACACTTATTGCGGTTACATCTCAGCATTGAAAGTGTATAAAAATCAGCAAGGATCTGTTTTACCTTCAATAGTGCAGCAGCTGAACCCTCTGTAAGAATTAGAAGATCATCTGCAAAGCTGAGATGGGTCAATTTTATGGCTTTACATTGTGGATGATAAGGGATAGTGCTAGAAGAAGCTGCAACATCAAGCATACATGATAGCGGTTCAAGAGCAATGATGAATATATAAGGAGACAGTGGGTGTCCCTGTCTCACACCCTTCTTAGCAGTAAAGAAACCAAACAGTGAGCCATGGATAGTTACACTGAAGTAGGCAGAAGATAGGCAAGCTTTTATCCATTGGAGATACATTGGAGGAAATCTCATCCCCTCCATCACACATAATAGATAGTCCCAATCCACAGAATCAAATGCTTTGTGAAGATCGATCTTAGCAGCAGCTCTAGTTGAGAGGTTGCGTTTAGAGTATCCTTGTACCATTTCTTGAGCCATAAGGATGTTATCAAGAATACTACGCCCTTTAATAAACGCAGATTGGTTCATACTTATTACACTGGGCAATACTTGTTGTAACCTATTTGCTACACCTTTGCAATGATTTTGTATATAATGTCGATGCAGGCAATAGGTCGAAAAGCTAGTAGTCTATCCGCATTAGGTACCTTAGGAGCCAAAGTTAGAGAGACTGAGTTAATACCTTTTGGCAGTTTTCCTGAGCAAAAGAACTCCTTAATTCCCTAAGTAATGTATGGACCAATAAGCCCCGAGCTGTGTTGAAAGAAACTAGTTGGCCAACCATCTGGGCCAGGTGCCTTGTGAGCATCCATAGAGAATAAAGCATCCTTAATTTCACCAGTAGAAACATCTCGACACAGAGATAATCGTTCAGCATCTGATAGGTGAGAGCACAGGAGAGGTAACAATGAATTTAAAGTCACTTTGATTTCTTCATTCTTCTTTCCATATAGTGTTTGAAAAAAGGAGACAGATTCCTGTGCAATCCGCTCAACATCAGTCACAATTTCTCCCAAATCCAGTACAAGTCGTCGAATCTGCTTTCTAGCTCTTCTCACTTTGACACTTTTATGAACGAAAGAAGAATTCAAACCACCCAGAGTTAAGTAGTTAATTCGAGACTTCTACCAATAAAAACTTTCCTCAGCGCACTTGTATCTCTGGTAAATAGTTGCAGATTGCTTCATGGCCTCAAATGACTCCTCAAAAGGATCTCGCAATGCATTTATCTGCTTCTCTTTCATATCCTGCTCAGACTGTTTAATCCGGCCAGATATGTCTGAAAATTCCTCACGGTTAAGAGATTTGAGCGCCAACTTCAGCTTCTTCAATATGTTTAGTACTTGTTGAATAATAGGTCCTTGACCATGACTATTCCAAACAGTAGCCAACAGGTCATAGTATGTCTCATGTTGCTTCCACATTTCATAAAACCGGAACGGCTTGGGAAATGATTTATGTTGCTCTGTTAGACAAACTACAATGCCATAGTGATCTGAAAAGGAGGAAGACAGGAATTCTACCACTGAATCTGGGAGTGCACTTAACCAATCATCATTCACCAGTGATAACGATGTAATTGCACCTATTTGCACCCCAAGTTCTTATCCGTTTGAGGGGCATAGTCGTGTATTTTTGGCCTATTTTACGCCGGGTTGTGCTATTTTGTCATATTTCAGGTCCCAGGCGTCAAAGGAAAGCCTAAGCACGAGTTTCGGGGCATTCGGAAGTCATTTCGTCGAGCTGGAGCCAAAACACGGGCACACCTAAAACAGAACACGGCCGTGTTCTGTGGCCGTGCTTTTACTGCCGAGAGCTAATTGAGTTTGGCAAATTCAAGCTGCAAACACGGGCTGAAAGCACGGCCATGTCCACCAAAGCACGGCCGTGTCCTCCCAAAAGCACGGCCGTGTTTCTCCCCATGTAATTAACCTTAGCCAAAGCACGGGCGGGCTGAAGCAAAGCACGGCCGTGCCCTCGACCGTGCTTTGGCCACTGATGCCCTTTTAAGCAGATTTCAGCCAAAACAGAAGGGGATTCGAGTTTTGAGAGAGAGAGAGAGCGATTCCTAGAGAGAGAAAGCGACGAACAAGAGTCTCCAAGTGCCCTAGATTGATCTTCAACACCATTGGAGGCCAGTTTGAGCTTGGAGAAGTGCCGATCAACGTCCAGGAGCAGGAATCCATCCTTCACAGTATGAATTCCGCGTCTGATTCTGCTTTTGCTTCTTTCTCCATGGAGTAGTTCTCCCATTCATCTGGGTATGGAGAACCCTAGATTTGTATGTTAGGATTGATTGTATGAACCCAAGTACTGATTCTATGATTTGATTATATTCGATTGAGGTTTGAATGATTGAATGACTTGAATCCTGATCAAATTCCTGTTGTTTCTGCTTTAACCTAGAATGAGAATATCTGCCTAGGTTGATAGAGCATCCTTGATTGAAGGTAGGGAGTTGGTGACTCTAGTCGAGGAACCAACTCACTATTCTGTACCGGATTTACTCCGGTAGTGGAGGTTCTGTTTGTTAAGGCCTCAATCTGTTTACTCCGGTGGAGGTTAGTCGCCCGCTAGAGACTCAGATTGAGAGGGTCTGAAGACCTTTAGTCGAGACTTCAGGCTGTTTAAGAACCTTCCGCAGTATAACTATCATAGAAACTGAACTTGGTAATTACAATCCGGCCTAACTGCAGTCTAGGGGGAGCCATATCCGGGTGACCTCTCTTAACCTGAATACAACCGTTTACTTGCTTTGTTAGTTTGTTAGTTTAGACTTGCATTAAAGTTTCATTGCTAGATAACAAGAATTCACTGAGTAGTCATCAAATCTAGGACCCGGGTTGATAATTAAACACAAACCCACTATACTACGCTTTAGGAAGTGGTTTTCACTTGGCCAATTCCTGGAGTGACAGTAGAAGTGAGTCAACCAGCATACGATCCAGTTTCTTTGCAATAGTTCTAGCTTGCTGCTGATTGGACCAAGAAAATAAAGGCCTTGTGTACTAATGGCGTTAAAATCACCACAAACCATCCATGGAAATCCCTTTACTTGCCATCATTTTCCTCATTAAAGTCATAGACTGCACTAAAGAATAATTGCACTGCTGCTGTAATAGAAATCAACATATGTATGAAAGAACTGTCGCAATGCAAGACCCTCAACTTCACATCCTTGTGCCAGGCAATCCAAATTCTACCAAGGTAATGAGTATTTTAGTTATCAGCAAACATAAAATCAGAAAAATTTTCTTGTATCTTCATAGCATTGCCTTATGTACTCTAGTTTCCAGCAATGCTAATACTTGTATTCTATACTTATGTATATACTGAAGCACTGAATTGTGCTTTGAGGGGCTGTCAAAGCCCCTCGTGTTCCATTCTAAAATAGTCATATCTTCAGTAGAGGGGCCCTCAGCACCCCTTTCTGACTACGTAAACCTTCCTGATGAAGTGGGAAGGGGATCCTGCAACTGTATATTCTTAGCTTTTCTTTTTGCTTTGTTTGCTTTGTCCCACTTGTGCCTTCACGGGTTTGCTTGCTTGAGTGTGTGCAGGTAGTGCATGACCCGTAGCCAGTCAGGAGGTTTACTGCCGTTGAATCAAGAGATTGATCGCACCTGTCGCCAGCTCAGGAGACAACAGCGAGCTAGACTGGCTACGGAAGAGCGCATAGTTGGCCACCTGAGTAGCGATTCTGAAGAAGAGTACGGGATGGACGGAGACTACAATCAGCACCAGGGGAATCCTCAGCAGGTTCCCCCGGTGAATCAGGTCCTGGGGAACAACCCCATACCCCAGGATCATGGGGTTCATCATCCACCGCCGACGGGTCCCACCTTGGAGTACTACTACACTCCACAGATTGCGGACATCCGCCCGTTCATCCTCTACCCGCCTATCCCAGCAAATAACTTCAAGATCAAGCCATGCTGGATTCAGCTCATTACATCCTCTATCCAGTTCCGTGGCTTGAAGGATGAGGAGGCCAGGGTACATCTTTCCCGTTTTCTGCAGTTGACGAACGGGTTCAAGCTTAATGGTGTCCCTGATGATGCAATCCGCCTTCATCTCTTCCCCCATTCTCTGGCAGGGAATGCTAAGAGGTGGTTGGAGACCGAGCCCCATTGTCCATCACCTCTTGGGACGATCTGGCTGACAAGTTCGTGCACAGGTACTATCCGGCATCGAAGACTACAGAGATCCAGCGGGAGATCACTCACTTCGCCAAGAGCCAGATGAGTCACTTCGTGATGCATGGGAGCGGTACATGGGATATTTCTGGTAGTGTCCCCATCATGGCTTTAGTGATGCATTCACAGTGGGGAACTTCTACAGTGCTCTCTCTCTAGACAGCCAGAGGGTGATTGAGTCTCTATGCCCAGGAGGGGATATTCTTACTAAGACTCCACCCGAGCTGAACCAGATGATCAATACCATGGCTGCCAGAGATCATTCTTGGGGGCAGAGCAGCAGAGGCAGACATTCCTGGGACCGTGGTGTGCACGCCATGGAGACCAGATCCGGGCTTGAGCAGCAGGTAGCTGAGTTAGTGCAGACATTGAAGCAGCCCAACAGTCTGATTCCGGGCAGAGGTTTGCTACACCTCCAGTAGCTCAATGTCAGTGGTGCGAGAGCTCCAATCACCTAGTGGAGGACTGCCAGGCTATGAGGGAGTCTACCACTCCCCAAGAGCAGTTGGACTTCATCGCCAATTCTCGGCGCCTCGACCCGTACAGCAACACATATAATGAGGGGTGGCGCCAGCATCCCAACTTCGCCTGGAGCAGCAACACCACTAAGCCACCTGGTTTCCCAGCACCAGCCGGTGGTTTTCCGCAGAGGAAGCCCTTCCAGGCTCGACAGGGGCCAGCCCCACAGCAGCAGCCCTACCAGCCTAGGCAGGGGCAACCATTCCAGCAGCCCCAACGCCAGTTTGTCGAGCCAGCAGCAGCCCCTGCCCCAGATGACCGGATGACAAAGCTGGAAAATATTCTAGCTTCATTCATGACTAGCACTCAGGCTGCTATCACGTCACTGGAGGCAGGTCAGCGGAACCAGGGTGTCATCTTGCAAGATCTGCAGAACCAGGTGGGTATCTTGGCCCGCCAGAACACCACCAGGGAACCGGGGACTCTGCCTGCCACCACTATCCCGAATCCTCGGGATCCTCACCAGCTCCAGCAGCTGGATACCATTTTTACAAGGAGCGGTAAGACCATATCTGCTGATCCTGTCCCGGCCAGACAGGAGGAACCACTACCTGCTTCAGCACTTCCAGCCGACGATGCAGAAGTGCGGGTGTAGAAGGATGTCCCTGCTCCCAAGCCACAACCAGTGGTTAAGGAGCATGTGCCCCAGCTTCCCTTCCCCACTCGCCTACACAAAGACAAGCTGGAGACTGAGTTGGCCAAGTTTATGGCAATGTTGAAGCAGCTCAACATCAGCATACCGTTCGTGGAGGCACTGTCGAAGATGCACAAGTATGCCAAGTTCATGAAAGGCCTCCTCACATGCCAAGTTCACTTTCGACAGTGATGCTCAGTGAGGAGTGTTCTGCTATCCTGCAGAATAAGCTGCCCGAAAAGCGCCAGGATCCAGGGAGTTTTACTATCCCTCTTACTATTGGCAGCATGCATGTAGGCAAGTCCTTGGCAGACCTAGGCGCTAGCATAAATGTCATGCCATATAAGTTGTATAAAAAGCTAGACCTAGGTGAACTTAGCCCTACTAGGATGAGCATTCAGCTAGCTGATCGTTCCATTGTGCATTCTAGGGGAATCATAGAGGATCTGCTTGTCAAGGTCGGTGCATTCACATATCCGGTTGATTTTGTTACTCTTGCTATACATGAGTATGTGGATGTGCCTTTGATTCTGGGTAGACCATTTCCTGCCACCGCCAAGGCACTTATTGATGTGCATGATGGTAAACTGATCTTGCGTGCTGGGAATGAACAGGCTACTTTTTCTGTGACTGAATTTGATCACTGTGCAATGATTGCTGTCACACCTGTGCATGCAATTTCTGATCAGGTACACGAGCCTGTCGTGTATCCTTCTGCACCTCTTATTTTGCAGGACCCTCCTATCATTCCTTCGCTGCCACTCCATCCAGCCTCGCCTCCGAACAAAAAGATCAAGGAGGAGTGGCGGCCGAAGCAGCAGGTTGCTAAGCCTGTTTGGAAGAAAGGTGGAGACCACTATGAGCTGGTCCCACCTTCTGCACCACGACCACCCTGGTTGTCCGGGTACTCACTCGCCTGCATCTTGCCGGATAGCCAGGTCGAGCTGACCGATGATGGTTGTCTCATCCGTCGGGTGCAAGGCCACAACCTGAAGCTGTACCTCAAGAGCGACGTGGATCCGCTCTTGGAGGCACCTGTTCCTGCACCTCCCTGAGTATCCACCATGGGCGTCCA